CTAAGAACATTATAGTTTGTGTATTCCTTCATTAATGTGGTCCAAGTTAGGTAACTATACCATGGATAGGTTTACAATGTTAGATATAAAAATCTATACTGGAGGCCATATTAAATAGCAAAATTTTACCTTATCTTCCAAGGAATCACTTGGTTGTTGATTTATCTGATTATCTGGAAGAACAATAATTTGTTAGTTCTTATAGTCTTCAGTATTAGTTGTATGTTCAAAGTATACGCTCACGTTTTCTTGATAAAAGCATTAGAAAATCTAGTGTGACTTGCAACTGTCTTATTATAAAGATAGTTTGGTCACACACCATTTAGTATTAGAAGGAATAAATGCAAGCTAGAGCCAGTTTAGAAGTAGTTCAGATTGACTTAGTATATTAGTGAACACTATACATGTTGACAAAAAGGGATATCTACTAGCGTTAACTACAAAATACCCCTAAAGCTAGGTGTGTGGATATAAGTAAACTAAGGCATGAGAAATGTAAGGCATGAAAGGAGATCTGAGTTCTAGTCGCCACTCAGTTATGAAGCCTTTGATTTCATGGGTGACTTTGGGCCAGTTACAGTTACAGACTGTCAGCCTAAGCTACCTCCCAGAAGAATTGTTGTGAGAATGAAATGTAGAGGAGTAGAACCTTGAGTTTCTTAGAATGATGCAGTGGAAAGGGGCCTAGAAGACCATCAGGTCCAACCCCTCTCTTCAGTACACAACACGAGTCTCCCATCCAGAGTCTAATCAGGCCTGACCCTGCTTAGCTTCCATGATCTTGCAAGAGGAAAAGCAGGGTATACAAGAAATGTAGTAGTAGTAGTAGTATTGGCTTCCATCTGGGAGAGATTACAGCTTGCTTGTTGAAAAGGCAACGAGAAAGGGAAGAGAGTAGGAGAAAGGACCTGATCAAAATACAGGACAATATGAATAAGCAGAACTGACCAATGGTATAAATCATTTTCTATTGCCCCATAGCATCTAGAAGCACCTAGCATTGTTTATAATATCCCCCAAATCCTGCTACTTATGGACAAGTGGAAGTCTACTGCAACTGTAAGTCATCTAGAGATCCTGATTGATTGTAGGATGGGATATGTTTTAAATACTTTTATCAAGATGAAACAGATGTGAGAATTGAGCTTCTAGATACTGATTCTTCTTGCTTCTCTGCTGTTCTTGGTAGTATTCATTGCCATGATCGCTGCAGACAAGGACAACTCACTGAATGAAGCCCAATAGTGGCATAATAAATTACTAGCTGGGATAAAGGGTTGCATTCAAAACAAAACTATTACATTATATTAGTCCTAGAAATGTTAGCCTAATCAAACTACAAACTATCATTTTACTTTGTTTTAACAATGTCCCAGCAGGAAATTAACTGGAACTTTGTATTGCCTTCTTCAGGTTTGCGGAAGGAAAAATTAAAAATTGAATTCACTATAATGTCACAGTTAATACTGTGTAATGTGATAAGCATCCATAATCTTTAGTTACTGCATCAGAGTCCCACATTTGTAGTGATCTGTTTCATCTGTTACACACTTCATTTCTTAAACTTCTAGAAGAATCATAACCTAAATCACTGGTTATTTAGTCAGAAAGTTAATAAAATCTGCTACTATATAAACATGTGAACAGTTAAAATACTAAGAATACCTTAAGAGATGTGTGAACTTATTGAAGGAAAGACAAAAATACAAACACCTGTAACTGCAAACATGAAATAATAGTTCAGTCAGCTTCTGTGTTAATTCTTACCAAAGTTATGCCCCAGGGTGAAGGATACACTCCCATCTGAATGGATGTAGAGATTGTCAACATCTAAGATTATCATGTGTAACACAGAATCCACTCCTTGCATTACTATCTGTTTCATTTTGCAACAAGACTGGAAACAGATAGCCCATGCTTGTTCCTCACTTATGGGTTGCTCATAGTATCTCAGGAACTCTGCAAGTGAAATCTTAGTGAGGTCCATTGAATAAATAATTGTACTTGCTGAAGTTTTTCCTCCTACCATTTTTTTCAGACAAGTGCCTTATAACAGAATAAAAATCCCAGCCTTCTTGGAATCTTTTCATATGTTCCTGGTATAATTCCTTCAGGTGCAGCTGTGCAGAAAAAAATATGGTTGCTTTTCCTTAAAGGGCTAAAGGCTATTGCAATGATTCTTAGTGCATTCACTGCACTTCATCTGAAGGGTGCAAGGAACTATAGTTTTTCTGTGGCTCTGATTTCTAGTCTATCACAGAGGTAATCCAGTTTGTCTCTTACAATCACAGAGAATATGAGATCGGTGCTTTTTCTTCCATTGGAGATATAATGAATACATGGAGATCTACGTAGTGATAAGAGCTTTACCTGCTCAATGCTAGCATTTCCCCTGGCATATAGGGAAAAGGCGGCAGAGCCAGCATGCTACTGAACTGCAGGATTTTTCTTCCATGCTTCTTTAAAAACAAGCATTCTAATTCAAATAGTTGTGGAAATACATGCAATTGTAAAAACAGTGCGAAAGGCAAGCCATGGGCGGTTTGCTTGGCACAAATAAAACAAAGTATAGGTCTTGTTTTATACCTATAAAACCGGGAGCGGGGCGGGGCGAGCTCTATTTGTATTAAGTATTTGCAGGATCAGAGCCTATACACTACAAACTTGGTTCGTTCCATCTCACTTTTTAGCAAATTTCCTTTTATTAAAGAAGCTATCACATCCCGAGTGTAAGCAAAGAACTATTTTGATGCAGGCTAATCCTGCAAAGAAAAACATGAAAGAAACACACTGCTATACATTATACTTTATTTGATATTAGAGGCATCTGAGTTTGTATAGCAAGGCCAGTTCTTAATTGCTGTGATTTTGCTTGATGAAAGAAAGGAGGGCTTCTGCGTCATAGCAGAAAGAGACTGATAGCCCTTAATATCCCGGGATCCCTCTCCAGCCTTGGCAGTAGGACGTCCGTGAGAATTTTGAAACAGATCGCTCCAATCTCCCGAAAGCATGAAGTGACATTTGTACTGGTTGGAAAGCACTATGTAAACAATTACTGTGCAATGAACCAACATGTGCGTAACTAATACTAATACCAATACAAGACAGCCCTACGAAGCCGTCAAAGCACGGCAGCTTTCGCTGCTCTCCTAAGGTGAGGAAACCACACGCTCCACCCACTTCCCCAAAAAAATCGTGCGAGGCAACCGAACAGTGCTTCTCTTTTTCCACCCCCTCCCCCCCCCGTGGTCGCTTAGTTGCGTCCTTCGATTCCTTCCTCCCTGTGATTTGGTTTAGTCCAGAGCAGGCCCCGCCTTCCAGAAAAGATGGCGGCCCCCGGAGCGCAGGAGGCGGTGTGGAACCGGGTGGACGTTCCGGCGCCCGCGTGCATTGCGGCTGTAGGAGTGCCGGCTCAACATCCTGCGGGTGAGGAGAGCGCGGCCACCGAAATGAAACGCCTGTGCTCGACGTTAGGATCGCGCGCCACTTGCCCGCGTATGCCTGCCTGGCACAGGAGTTGCACTTGGTGCAGTCTTGGAAACGTGTTTTAGTGCACTATTCTATGTATGCTTCGACAGCGGCAGAAAAAAAAGGCCCAGCTAACTGTGCTTTCCTATCTAAGCATGCATAGTGCTGCCCCTTAATAGGTTTACGGGAGGTACAGGAACGACCCAGCTAAAGTAATTGTTATTAATAATAATACTACTAATGAAAGTTGAGTGCTTCTCTCAATGGGGTCTCGGGCGTGTCTGCTCAAAAGTAAGTTTCACTATTGTAATGGAACTTATTTTCGTGTCAGAACGCATGCAAAGATGCCTTTGGCTGGTTCACTGTTACATGCGAGAGAGCATGTGCTTCTCTCGCATTAAAAATAATGAGCTGGATGCAGATAAAGTCTCATGGGCAATAACGGGTAGTATCTAATGTTTTTTCTAATTTGGGTAGACTCATTGAAATGAACGGAACTGGAGTGAGTTGTGACCAATTTAAGTCTCACTCATTTAAATGGGTCTGCTCTAAGTGAAGTAACATGCTGGCTGGTTTGCCAAAGTGGGAAATTGACCTTGGACAGGAGGAAAATGGGCATGCTGTGGAATGGGGTGGAGAAAAGGCAGAAGGTGATGGCTTTTGCTACAGTCACATGGCAGCCCTACTTCCTTCCTTCCTTCCTTCCTTCCTTCCCCTTCCATGGTGCTTCATCTTCATGGTCCCAAAATCTATCTAGATTAGGGGTGGGCAATTAATTTTCCTATGGGGCCACATGAGAAACTTTGACAGTTGTTAAGGGCCGGACCAATACACTTACAGCTCTGCTCAGTATATATCTCTATAAAAAAGTAAATGCAACATTACAATGATACAGTGAAAATGTGGAGCACAGAACAGCACTATTTAATGAATATTCGCAAAAATATTATTAACATTACATGAAAAGCAATAAATTCAATTCAATTCAGCAGATCCTTCAAAATAAAAGCAGTGCAGTTGTATTGCTTGCATCTATATTATGACGATATATATTTGCATTGACTTTTAATTTGCCAATGACCTCATGCAGGCCAGTCAGGGTCAGCCATCAGGCCGGATGTGGCCCGTGGGCCGTACAATGCCCAGGTCTGATCTAGATGAAATGCAGGGTTTTGGGCAGAAGAGAACACTGCTGCTGTGCCTTGCACCATGCAAGTTTGGAGACTTGCATCGTCAAGTGTGAAGGGCATTGAATTGCACTGCAGCTTACCTGTAATGGTACTTTTACCAGTTGTGGCTGTAAGGAGTGACATTGCTCCTGCACTGAGGCATCACAAACCCTGTGTGCCTCATAGATGTACATGCTATGAAGTTTTGTTACTGGAGGGCAAATGATTGAAACGATTCATCCTTGTCACGCTGTTCCTGGGGGTTTTGGAGTTTGAGAAGCTGGATGTATCTTCTAATAAGACTTTGTTACATGCATTGTTGTATCGCTTTATATCAATAATTTCTTCATTTATCTTTTCCAGTGAGGTGCTTTTCAGCTGTTAGTAAGGGGTGTCATTCTGTCTACCACCTTCTAAGAAATGAAGCTATGGTTGCAGAACAGAGCCTACTGCATTCAATTATGTATAGTTTCCATTACCAGATGAACCATCATAGGCCATATCGGTCTCTCAAACAGGTTGGAAGAAGGGTTTTTCCAATATATATTTTTTCATATGGGAGTAGTTGTCAGTTTGGTGGGATGAAGATGGGTACTTCACATTGAGTGGTATTCAGAATTTTAACTCAATGGATGTAAAAATTTTGTGATTTTTTTGTTCTCTTCATGGTTCAGAAACTGGATACTGTCCCTTGTCTCATCTCAAGAAGTGTGTTTTTGGTAAATTGATATTTCTATTTGCAAAAAGAAAACAATATAATGACAACAAAGCCACAGTTTGGTGCTTTGCCTAATATGTCTTCTACACTGTCCATATTTACTTGCCATGTTGAAGTTCAAGTAGTATATGAAGTATTATGCAAAGCTGTACTTCAATTCTCAATATTGGAAGAAACAATTTATTTGTGAGTTGTGAGTCTGTAGACATTAACATACAATTACCTTGTATGTTATAATGTCACCCAAAAGCTACACTCATTTACTTAGAAGCAAGCATGGATTCATTTCCTTGTTGTTAATGTTCAAGTTTGTTCTGGATTATAGCCCTGGTTCACCTGTAGTATTGAAAGGTTATATTAGTATGCTATGTAGTGTTTTAATGTTATCGCAAGCATGTAGGTAGAGATGGTTTCAGGGCCCAAGGAGGTCCAAGGGCCTTGCGGCTGCGCAAGCACTCTTTTGTAATTGATAGGAGACTTTCACTTTCACCTCACTCTGTTGACTAGGATAGATTTTAAAGGGAATATAAATGTTTTTGTGTCTGAATGCATACAATATATACAATACATTCACACATATATTGCCAGCTGATGGTGTGAATGGAGGGGCTGGGCTATGCAGGAAGGAGCAAGTTGATTTTCTTTGTCTCTCCTTGAGTTCCATGGGACAGGCTGCAGTCAAGGACCCAAGGGGCAAAGATTGACTGTTCCTCAACAAATGGCTGGCATTTCCTCCTATGGGGTGTGGGGGAAGTAAAGTGCTACTCTCTGCCATAGTTGCTGTGTTGTCTCACTTTTATTCTTGGGGAACCATGGGGTGGAGAGGCAGTAGGATACTGGGCTGTTCTCATCATCCTCATCCCATCAGAGTGCTTGGTGTTTTATGAGTAATAGAGGAAAGGGAAATATCCAGAAGCTAATGTTCATTTTAGTTATACTGGTTGCTTTGTCATACAAAAATTTGCATGCATATAGTAAATGTTTAAAATGAGGGATGCCTGGGTTAGAATTTGATCTATGAAACATTACACTTATATTCCTCCCCCCTCCCCCCCCACACTCTTTCAGGTAGAACAGTGCTTGAAGCGTTTCAAAATAATGAATTTGGAGAAGGCAATCCAAGATCTTGTTCAGGCGGGCCCAGTGTAAGTAACATTAGTCAGAACGTTTCACCATGTTTGTGTGAACCTTTTGCTTACATCTTCAGCTTTTCTGAGTTGCTGGTTATAGTGCTTTAGCTAACTTTGATCCTATTGGAATCCCTGAAACTTAAGGCAACTAAAACTCAACAGTTTTTCATCAAAATGTCTCTTTTCTAGTCTGAGGCAGTGGAAGCCTTCACACTATGTTGAACTTTTCAACGAAGAATGAAGTGATTTATCTGATTCAAAATCTTGCTTAAATGAAAATCAGCCAACAGAGAGTACTATATTATTTTGTCCATTAACCTTTTATTGTCTTATGTGATTAACAAAAAATCAACAACCATTCATATAATATTTACTTTGTACCCAAGGCAGTTTACAGTATGATGCAGTAGTTAGAGTTTTGAACAGAAACTCAAAAGACCCAGTTCTAGTTCCCACTTTGCCACTGACTCTCAGCCTAACCTAAGTAATGGGATTGTTGTTATGCTGAAATAGGTGAAGAGCATGTGCACCTCCATGAAGGAAAGGCAGCATATAAAACAATTTTAAAAATACTGAAATACTTCTAAATAGCAAACAAACAAACAAAAATATCCCTTCAGTAACCTCTGTCAAGCCAGCTGATCTTTTTAGGCATCAGTTGCCTGGTCTTGAGCCTCTCTTCTTTTCCTTTCCAGGGACCAGCATACACAGTCTTTAATAGCAGGGAAGTTGCAAGATTTTAAACTGTTCTGAAGGAATATCAAATCCAAAATCAGACTCTTAAGGCAAACTTGAGTTAACAGATAATGGAATACTTCATTTTTTATTACAGGAACAGTTCAAGGCAATAAATTCTGCTTGTAATTTTGCTGCTAGGCATTCTGCCATCCAGGACATACCAGTATTAAATGTGGTAGGATGCCAAAACATAGGCGCATACTCTTTTTTCTTTTGATTTATTTTAAATAGGAAACATAACTCTGAAAACGCTGAAGAATGCTTGGTTCCCAGCCAACCTGTAATAGAAGTGGTACTGGTGAAGATACTGGGTGGCTGCAAACTTGTGCTGCGTTTACTTGAATGTTGTTGTACAGGATTTCTGTATCCTTTCAGAACAAAGAGTTTGAAATATAATATGGTGCTTCATGGAGTTCCAATAGAGAGATACAGAATCATAGGAGATATTCTGAAGGCTTATTAAGGAAGATAGCTTTGATGACAAGTCTTGTATAGTTACCAAGTATAGTATCCCAATGTATGTCAGTTTTCTGCTTCATAAGTTAGCTGAAATAATACATATTTTTATTTTTGTGTTCTTAAAGTAGCATAGAATTCTCAATAGAAACATGCCCATTACATGCTGGCTTGGGCTGATGAGAGCTGAAGCCCAAAATGTAATAAGGGCACCAGACTGGGAAAGACTGAAATGGGTGTTTAATATGGGTTTCTAAGCCGTGGACATTTGTTGTTTAGACTTAATTGACTTGCTCCTCAGTTTGTCTGTTAAACATCTGTGTTTACAGGAGTACATACTATTGAATACTCTGGTTGTGGGATTGCTGAGCCGATTATGGTATGTATACCTGTAAAACATTTTTATTGTTGTATTATTTTCTTGCTATTTTAATGCCAGGATTTCATATGTGAGAAGACTAGTTAGTTCATATTGCAAGAGATTAAGGTAATTATTATTTGAGGAAATAAATTTGAGGAGGTTTTAGCAGAGAAGCAAACAGCTCTTGGAAAAGTATTTGTTACACAATATCTAATCTTCCATCTTTTCTATTGTCTTAGGATTCTTTTTAAAGGTGTATTGAAAAGCCTTGGCTCGTTATATAAAAGTCTGTTTGAATTGCTTCAGGAGGTTTCAAATATGCAGCCAAGGCCTTATATTGAAGGATTTGCTTTTCCTTCTGTAATAAATGAATTTCTGGGAGCCCCTTATTCAGAGATTAAGAAGAAAATGCCTAAAGCACTTGTAATGAAAAAGGCTGGAACTGGATGGTTGAATAGATTGTTCTCAGGAAGCAAACCTGGATCATTGAGTACAGCAGTTCCTAAAAGAGTCATGAAGAAGATGAGACGTGCCCAGAACAATACCGATATCGGAAAGCCAGTTCTGGTCAACAGAACTAACCTAGGTAACTTGGGTGAAATGAGGGGCAGATTGTGGGAAACCAAGCTTTGTCTCTTTGGGCTCAGCTGTTTGCCTACCTTCTCATGTGGGGATATGGGAGGTGCATACAGATCTTTTCTCCTAGTCTTTCTGCCAGTATGCATTAGACAAGGGGTGAAGGGAGGAAGGGAGCATTTCATCATCCAACATGCTTACTGTCAGGCACCCTGGACATTACAGATTATTTAGAAATAACTGGTAGCCATATTGCAGTAGAATATTACATATTTTCCAGATACTTATCCCAGATAAAGTGAATTTAAGAAGAGATGCTTTGATCTCAGGATGGTTTTGTTCCAAATAACTGTGCATAGGTCTGTAGACAAGCTTGCTTTTCCTATTTGTAAAATGTCTGGTATTTTTTTTTTCTAGATCTTGAAAAGGAGTTTGATATCAAGACCTTGTGTAGACACCCTAGCCCTGCAATGCAGGAGGTTTGTTATATTTTGTTTTCGTGCACCTTGAAGTTACTGGCTTGGATCCAGAGTTTGCCTTCTGCAAATGGAAGGGCTCTTTCTGACCATAGCTAAGGCTTTTTATCCAGCAGATGGTGGAATGAAGGCGAAAGCAGTTTTTGTCCATTTCTCCTGCAGCCTCCCAATCCTAATTTTTGGAAACTTTCTGGAACCATGTGGAATATCATGCTTAGGGCTGTGTAGGAAGATGAACGCATCAGAAATGCTTCACTCACCTCCCTGTCCTGAGCAGAACTCTCAGCAGGAGCAAACTCTGGATTCAGTACATGATGTTTCTGTGTTTTATGTGTCTGATCAGAAAATACTGCTGTGGCATTAATCTTTATTCATAATGGCATATGTTCAGATTTACGTGCCTCTTCCAATGATCACAGAAAGGAAATAATCTACACAGGCATATTTCCCTTGCTGGTTGTGTGCTGAGGGAGTTTAGCATAGATACTGTTAACTAGTATGGGTTACATTGTCATATGAACCTAGTTAACTGCCATGTTAACAAACCACCCTAGAACTTTACAGTCATCCATGGGTTGACCACCCATGTATTCTCTGTTTCTAGAGTCCTTCTAACCAAGGATGCTACAAATTAATCTTTAAGAACTTGAGACTTCTATGCTGAAGACAAATTTTACCTTGTTGGTGTTTTCCAATACAAATTTCCTTGCTTTTTGTTTAATTTCAGAATACTAAATCTAGAGAAAATCCTTCTGGATCAAAAAGGACACCCAAATCTCTTTCTTCCAAATCACTGAAAGCTCAGCATCTTAGATCATTTGTGCCTAAACTTCAAGAAGCAAGCTCCTTTAGAGAACTATCTGACACACTCAAAACAACCATTCTCTGGTGCAAAAGCAACAGACTTGGATCAGAGGCCTTTTTCTTGGGAATGAAACTTTTGAAAAGTAAGAGGCTACAGCATGTAGAAGCCCAAGGTTGCAGGTCTGTATACTATTATCACTGTTAACTTTTGTCATTTCTATATTGCCCAATAACTGAAGCTTTATGGGCAGTTCACAACAATTCTTACACATAGGTTCAATACTTAAAATGGTCTGACAGCAAAAATACAATAAAATGCAGCATAAAATTCCAATATACATAATTTAAAACTGTTTAAACAACTAAAACTTCAATAAAACTAGCCCTTTTTAAAGCCTGGCACCCTGGGCATAGAAGGTAGTGGTTGTTCTGGGCCTGTTTTCCAAGGTCATGGTTTCATCGGCTTTTTGGGTGAGGATAGTGATAGCTGAGAAATGGGGAGTGTAGGAACAGAGAGTACAGAGGAGCATGGGGTTGTCTGAAGGCCATTGCCTCCAGGTATGCAGTCAGACCATGAGCAGAGACAGTGTTTGGTACAGGGATGGGACAAAGGAGAGGAGGAAGATGAGCTCTCCAGTCCCTGATCACATGATGCAGGACAGAAGACTGCCCTAGAGGGCTGGCGTAGATTTTAGAGGCTGGCCCTACTCCAGCGAGACCATCCCAGAGGGGTGGAGACCAGTGTTCCTGAAAAGGAGGGCTTTTGGAAATAGTTACTAGCTTGGGTTCAACAAATCACTCTGTTCATGCTTAGAGGCTAGTCCTCCAGTGGCTGTCGCTGTAAATTGGTAATAACGAGCAATTTTGCAAAGACTGTCGTTTTGGGAGTTGGAAATGAAAAAGGAGAAAACAGTCTCCCAACGGTCTTAAACACAAACCAAGAAGGTGACAATGCTGGTGCCACAGTGGCCCTTGGTGGGAAGATCATGCCATAATTAGGAAGCCACCACTGATAAGGTTGCGCTCTTGGGTCATATTGGCTGGAGCTAATAGGAGTTGGAGTTCAGTAACACCTGCAGAGGTACTAGATTGGAGAAGCCTGATTTATTTATATACTAATTAAGCATGTGACCAGTTGGTAACTGGAGACATTATTTTATTTGGGGAACAGGTCTCTACTGCTGGTCAGAGGATCAATGGAATGGGGGCGGGTGCACTTGATGCCTTGTGGAAGGAACATCCTGGCAAAAGGAAAACTGACATAGTTTTATTCATTGGTGAAGGTGTAGCTGCTTGAAAATTTTAGATACTTTATAAGTACTAAATAAGTTTTACTATGTTTGAGTTGTGTTCATTTTTCCTAAGGGAGAAGTTAGGAAGAATACTTGATCTGGATGTCAAAAACAAAAAGTGTGAAGGACGAAAAGACAAGAGGCTTGGGGTTAAGCCTCATTTGCAATTTATTTCTAATTTTTGGAATAGAGAAGGCTTTTGCAGGCTTACTAGTACCATATTGTGCAAAAGAGCTTTGGTTACATGGAGAACTTTACTTGATTAAAAATAATTGTTCTGACAAAGCAATTGTTTTGGTGTTGTAGTGAAAGCAGGGATGCAGAATTGGCCAGTGGTACCCCTCAATCCAGCCTCCTGGGTTTGTGTGGAAGGTTAAGTGCCAAGCTCTGCCCTCTGGGGGAATCCCTGTGGAAAGCAAACCTTTGCTGCTGCTTCTGATCTTAAACTGGAGGTTATGGGGATGCAAAGTGTCCTTTTCTCTGTGTTGGGAGAAGGCATAGTTGTGTGCTTCTAACAAGAAGGAAAAATGGTATCTTGATTCTTTAATGTAGCCTGAACCTGACATCACATCTTTTGGCTGGTGGGGAGAAATTTGACCTCACACCCCTACATTTCTTGACCCATGTGTCAGAGTGTTAATTAGGGACTAGGGAAACCTAGGTTCAAGTGTCCAAGGAGATCACAGGGTGATAGACACACTGCTTAACCTACCAGACATGGTTGTTGTGAGGATAAAATAAAGAGGATCATATTGGCTGGCTTGGGCTCCTTGGAGGAAAAGGCAGACTACACTTGCAACCAATAAATGCTAAATGTTCCTTTTCCCTTACAGTTTGCGTAGGAAACTTGGCTGTGTGAAAGCTACCCTCTGTAAATACCTTCAACTCACAAGTTGCAAATGGAGACCAAGTCAAATACTTCGAGTTCAGTCCCATCTACGAAGGCGAATCAAACTTTCAAAGAAGCGAAGATGTAATTTAAAGAGATCCTTATTTTGCATCCCACCACCCGAGACAGACACTCTTCTCCTTGAGAACAGCCTTTCATGTTCCCTTGGTCAGTGGTCTAACGATTCATCTCAGGTGTGGACTACTGAAAACAGTCATTCTAATGAAACTGTTGAAGAACAAGCCCGTGGTAATGCTTCTCACCTTGTGAAGGAAAGAAGCCTGTCCCATAGACAGAAAGGTGCTACAGAAAATAGTGATGATATTGATGATATTTTTAAAGTAATAGGTCTCTAATGCTTCATTCCATTAAATTGTGTTTATTTACTAAATTTCTATTATACAAGGGGAATGTGGGGCAGGTACCTACTGTACAGCAAAATTTCAGTGTGCTTTTACAAAATGTTCTTACGGTGTTTTGAAAAGATATTTTAATTATCTTCTAATACTATTTGCTAGGCAAATACAAAGTATAAGTTGAACACACCAAGGCCAGACCACTTTCCATTCTGCTTCATTTTCTCCTGTCCTAATAGTAAACCTCTTACTTGAGTGTAGAGATTTACATAGCCAGAGTAGCATCATCTCTATCCAAGAGGGAGGTTTTGGTAGGATTCAGAAGTCCTAGCAAGCAGGAATATAGTAACCTGGCTGTGGAAGGAAAGGAAAAGTTGGCAAGGTGAGGGAACTGGACAGACTATCTGGGAAATGAGGATCATTGGAATTCTGAACAAGAGCCTTTTGCATTGGAGCATAATGCTACAACCTTCACTACCTTTAGTTTTTTTTTTTTCTTATAGTCTAGTAATATTTTGTGAAGTATGGTAAATGTTTGAAATAGAAATGAAACTATGCTAGCCAAGGTCAGTATTGGACAGTTTAACTACCTCTGCTTGTACATCTCAGAAAGCAGGCAGAAGGGGGAACCAGGTCATGGAACTGCTGCAGTTTTTTGGGGGGGGGGTGGGAGGGAAGGTATACTGGGGAAGCATCAATGGTTCTGTAAAGCCTCTGGCCTTGTGAGATTTGTTGTGGTGTCCCTTAAGAATGGGTGTCACAGTACATAACCAGCTGTTCCATAAACCAGGAGGCTTCTGGTATGGCTGCTGAGTTTAAGAATCAGCGTTGAGCCCAACTACAACCATAACTAGCTTCAAGAGGTGTTATGTTTCTTGCAAAAAAATATAAAATGTACCAGTACACCCAATATTGCTGCAACTCCCAAGTTATGTTCACAGCAGTTATTCCTACATTAGGCAATATTGCATTTACTTTACAATAGTGGCAACACCAAAACAGGTTGGAACCTGTCACACATCACTTTCACCACTGTATTTTTAAGAAAAAATGCACAAATATTGTTTGCTTTATTGGTGACGCCTCCAAGAAACAAGTGCTACCTGTAACCAGTCATTTCACTGAATTGCAGGTAGTGTTGAACCAGGTTGGTGTTTGAGCCCTATTCAGTGCAGACTTCCTCTCATTATTGCTTCTAGATATAAAGAAACTAGCTAACTTGACTCCTTATATGTACATGCAGTGGGAAATCGCAGTAATGGGCTGTTGTGTATCAAATATATGAATTTCTCACAACATTGTTACATGGCTTTTTCCAATACATGGTTCAAATTATTGTAGGGAACTTGACCCATGAAACAGTTCTCTTGGTCAAGCAACTGCTCAAAAAAGTTCAAGAAGATGCATAAGTAATGCTTAAACTGTATTTTATTTTAAAACAAGCAGAGGCAATATAAGATGCAGCGGCCAACTGAAGTCTTTCTGTAGATCATCACTGCAGAAGCAGCATAGTTTGGCAAAATGTATTGAGCAAAGAGTTCAAGTTCCTTATGTATTCACATGTTTGTCCAGTATGCTCCTTCAAAAACAAATTCAAACAAATATAAAGAAAACTTATATAAAATGTTTTATAGATGGTATCTGTCGCTAAATCGATTAGCTGAGATGTTTCCAAATATGTCAAACAGATGTTGGAAATGTAAACATAAATTGGGTACTTTTTATCATATGTAGTAGACTTGCGACAATGTGAAAAAATACTGGATTAAAATACATAAATGGCTCGAGGAAATGTTACAAAAACCCCTAGCTTTTAAACCTGAAGTTTTTTTATTAGGCATCATACCGGAAGACAGTAGCAAACAAGAAATTTGATGTTGCATGTCATCACCACGGCAAGGATTGTATTCGCTCAGCACTGGAAAAGTGAGGAACTACCCACCGATGAACTGATTTTAAAAAAGATTTTGGACTGTGCAGAAATGGATAGATTGACTTTATCACTGAAGGAGAAAGAAGATACTGACTTCTATCAAACTTGGGACTCTTTTTATTATTGGCTAGAGAAACGGGACCTGGCTTAGATTTAAATATGTTTTTAAGCTATCATAAATGGATTTAAATATGACTATGGAATGTTAAAAAATATGAGTGGGGGGGGCTGACCCAGTACATCTGATGTATTTGATGATTGATGTTTTTAGTGTTAGTTTAAAATTTTAATAAAAATCTATTATAAACAAATTCAAACAAATGGAGCAATTATGAATTGCTCCCATTTTTATTGAAAATCAAGCTCCTCATAAAAACAAATACAAATATTAAGCATACAAGGAACTTGTTCGTTACAACATAGTTCAGCAAAACAGGGTATAGATTAACAGTACTGAAACCTTAATAGCAGGTTTCTTGGCATAGAAGGGGATCATTGTTGGGGTGGATTGAAGGGAGAACTAGAACCTCTTGACAGCTGCTAAGAAACTAAACAGGGAAAAAAGATGAAACAGCCAAATAATACAAACCCAGAGAACAGAACTCTTAAATTTGTGAATTAAAAAACCTTAAGGTTATAACTTACAATAGGAAATACATTAGGGCCATTGAGTACATTTTAATATATGCCACTGAAGAAAAATACAAACAAAAACAGAATTCCCTGTCAAAAAATTATCTCAAGCAAATTCTACAGAAATCAAAACTTGACTTTCCTAAAAGAGTTTTCTCTTTACCCTAGAGCTATGCATACCAATATGCTTCCCATCACTCACAGACTCTGAAAGTAACCACAGGGCAGCACTGCATCATCATCTAAAGAGGAAAATAACCACCATTGTTAAAGGTACACATGTGTATCTACCCTCTCAAACAACAGTGATTTGCAGTCCAATTAGTAAATACTGGACACACCATAAAAATGCTTCTATGCATTTGGGTGCACCTGTACCCACTAAGATGAAGTTTTGTACCACTGCTACTTGAGAGGGCAGTTGTGAATGCACCTGGTGCTCTCCATGTTTCAGATACACTGCAACTGATTAGGGCCTAAAATGTCCCAAAACAATACTGACAAAATGTTCTAATGCTGAATCCAAAGTGGAAAGCCTGACTTGACACACAAAAAAACCAAGTAATGTGCTTCTTGTTTGGTATTCTGGTTAGCTATATGTTTCAAACCAAAAGAGGCACCACTGACTTAAAAATTGTCATAAATTGCAGATGGATTTGAGTATTCCCTCCCTTCTAAATTTATTTGTTAAATACAGTGTTGCATTTTTAAAGTAGGAATCAAGTGACATCTGCACAAGGTACTTTGAGGCCATACTATCCAGAAGAATAGATATATTTCCTGACTTTCAGGGAAAGGGCAAAATAAAAAAATCAGTTTGTCTTCCTGCATGTGCCATTTACCTGCATTTCAAAAGGCCTCAAGAACCATAGTTTGCTTCATCAAATGCCTTCCTTGCCCGTTTCAGTTCTTCATTCATTGTTAACAAGTCTTTTACACGAGCAAACTTCCGTGGATCTTTACGGATCAAGAAGACAATATCTTCAACCTGTACTCGACCTTGCCGTCCAATAGACATTGCTTTGTGAGTCTAACAGGGAAAAAATCAATTTGACTCAAGGCAGAACAAAAATGTTAATAATCATTCCTTTTTATATATGATATTTCTAACACAGGTCAGGATAAGAAGAACTATAATAGTAAGTTATTATTCATGCTGGCTCTGCTTAGGCAAAGTGTCTGATCAATTTGCCCCTCCTCCTCAGAAGTTCACTCCTGTCAGTATCTGGAGGGCATAGGCCTGTGAAAGTTTTGAAGTGTAAGCATATCGCAGAACTTACCATTTCTGTGATGAATTCTATGACTAGGTCTTCAAGAATATCAACTGATTCTGTATAAGGGTTCTGGTCATCTCCAAATCCATACATCATACATCTCACTGTGTAATAATTAAAAAACAACTTTAGTGGGATAAGAATTGCAAGCACTCTGGAAGATTCACGAGCTGTTCACTGACAGTCTTGTAACTGTCACTAAGCAGTGGCATTCTCCCAAACTCTTCAAGCAAGCAGAGTCCTGCAGTTATGCAAGCTTTTAGACTAATTTTAAGAAATATTCAGATAAATATTCTTCATTTGGAAAGTACATATTAGGATCCTTAAGCTGAAACAACATCAAACACATCAGCCTCCAATAACCATAAGTATATACTTAATAACACAATTAGTTTTAGTGGAACCTTTATGCCAGCTATTGCAAAAAGAATGTGTTACTCTATTGCAGGCTTCCCCAGCCTTGTGCCTTCCTGACATGTTTGGAGGACAACACCCAGAATTCCCAATGGCCCTGCTGAATGGGAATTCTGGGAGTTGCAGTCCAAATGCCTGTGAAGGCACAAGGGTGGGGAAAGCTGCTCTAGTGGAAGCTATCTGCCTGATTCTAGAGCCTAAATGAACAGAGACCAGAAGAAGGTCTTTTCCTTCAAGTTACACTTGTGGAAACTCGTGCTGCTATGATCATCTAAACTTCAGTGTGCATGAGCATTATCTACCCTGGAGTATTAAATGACATTTCCTTGAAAATACCAAGTCTTTGAAGAGATGGTATTTTACAATAAAACTGTAGTATTTAGAACACAACTGAAGGGCATCAAGGGTTGTAGCCACACTTATGCTTAGAGCAGACATGCTGAAATCAAAGTAACTTAAGGTAGTCTTGACATAATTATCCCATTAATTTCAATAATCCTCATTAGAGAAGACCCGTTGAAATCAATGAGGCAAATGCCCCCTAGCTGGTCATCAATGATAGAAGAGGAGGATCCCCTTCCCTTCCCCAAGTCCCCAGTAATTTCTGAGGGCCTGCAGAGACAGCCAAAACTTCTTCTGACTAGTTGTGGAACCTCTAGGAAATCATAACAGGTGTGGACCCAACATTCTCCTAGAATACAGTATTTCTTGCTCCACCTACAAGACGGGAGCCCTCAAGGAAATGTGTGCACCTGCACCACCACAGAAGCACTGGAATACAGGATTGGCCCATCCAGCTCAGTACTGCCTACACTACATGGACTGGCAAGGGCTTTCTAGAATGTCATACTGGAGCCTTTCCCAGCATTATGTAGAGATACCAGTGAATGAACTTGGAACCTTTCAGAATATAGGAAGCTCACTTACACTGAGGCCATTGGCACCCCTAGCCCAAGAGAACTGACACTAACTGGAAGCAGCTTATCAGGGTTTCAGGCAGGATTCTTTCCTGTACATTCTGGGGAAAGCACAGGACCTTCTGCATCGAAGACAGCTACGGATCAACTCCAAGCAATGGCACCACTATGTAGTGTTAGACCCTGGATTTAATGGTCTTATGGGAAGCTCCTTAGATGACCATATGCCTTACTTCGGTAGGGAAGGACACAACATTTGTCTCCTTCCTGCCTCTTTTGCAACTGCATCTACATTCCTGATGTTACAACAGCAAAACCATTTGCCAAATAGTTAAAACAACAACTCTAAAGTGTAGAACAGCACATGATCAAACATCATAGTACTATGGTGTCTGCTGAGGATATGTTTATTTAAACATTTTTTCCTCACCAGCTATGTTTCTATTGGTATAACCTAACTTTAAATATTTTTATATTTAAACACGTGTATTTATATATGTTTGTATACAAACAAATTATATGTTGACCATTTTCCCCTACTGTTCACCACACTGATAATTTCTTTTTATCGTCAAAAAGGTTTAAAAATATAAAAAATCACTACAATAGAGTTTGCTTCTACTTCCATCCTCATTGTACTTTCTAAGTGATCATTCCATGGTCCCTTGAAGTGAAGAGCCATGGACTTTGGCTTTAAGGTCCACCCCTAGCTATAATACTGACATAAACTTACATTCTTTGGAAAACAGCCTCTTCCTTTTGCCCTGTCCACCATCTGGTCCTCCTCCAGCTTCTTCAGTATCTTCTTCAAACTAAAGGAAAACAAAAGCCATATAAGCATGAAAGAGGAATGCAAAGCAAGACTGAACTAAGCAGTGAAGTGGCCTTTACTGATACTGTACTATCAAATTATTTGGAGTGGTTAAAACAAAAAAAGATAGCAAATACTTCCAAAGAGCATCAAAATGGCAAATGTGTTTCAACTTAAAGTGGCATACAGTAGGGCTTTATTTATCCATCCATCCCCCCACCCCAACTTCACATAAACACTAATGAAGCTACAGCAGGCAATGAATGACCAAGGATGGTAATCTTGGTGAAAACATCAACACAGTATACAGCTCAGTGATGTGGATTTTCCAGATATGCTCCTACACAAATTAACATATGGTCATTTTCACTGGAAAAAAAATCAGTTTGTTTTGGAATGTCCAGCTTGTAGTGGAAAATCAAAGTGGGATCTTATCTTGCATGTTTGTTTTTGTTTTATTCAGTAGACAAGTTTTTAAAATGCTCCATGTTAAGAGGTTAATCCTTTGTCCCAATAGTAGTTGACCTGAACTATTTGAAGAAAAACAATTAAACCACACTTTATGTAGAATTATTTGGTGGAATACTTGGAATGAAAACTGTTGGCACACTAAGAAAGCATCTTCATTCCTCTAGATGTTGTCTGAACAGCTGAAGGGGAATTGTTTAGATTCCCTTTCTGAGGTTGGAGACAAAGCTTTGACCTTGGAAGGGGAGTTTGAGATATATTCTCCCGTCACAGCCGGCTGTCTTTTTGAGATTGTTAAAACTGACTTTGGAGAGGAGGACAGGTGGGTATTCTGGTGTTTGTGGAGAAGAAATTGGTGAGGCTAGGGTATGATTTATCCTGCCTCCTTTTCTCCTCTTCCAGTGCACTCCAGCGAGAAAGAAGGAAAGCCTTTATAGGGAAAAATGCAGGATGGAATGGTGAATCTTGCTTCTATGGGCACAAATTGCTACTTAGATAGCCATTTAGTCAGGTTCAGTGAGCTACTTCTTAGATTAGCATATATTTAAGAAGGCAGGTATGACAAGACTGGAATATTCTAAACACTCCTAAACTTGCCATACTCCTTATAATCCAAATGATTGGTAGAGGGAGAAATAAGACAATCCCTTCATTCCTACAATGAGTGCAATTGTATGGATGCACAACATAGTCTGGGAGGCTGCAGGATATGTTGGAGTCCCAGCTCTGATCTGGAGGGCTCTCCTGTGACTGTCACAGCCAGTGCAGCTCTTCCTGTGCAGACTGGGCTGGGAATATAGACATCTTCAGGTCTTGCATAGGGGGCGGAGGTCAGAGAGGAATGAACAAAGCACTGCCATCTTCTGGAAAATCCTGTTGATGTCTCAGGATGCTTCCTCACAAGGAGGGAGAAAACATTTAGACAGCCATAATCAGACGTCTAAATGTTTTGGAGGGCAAGGGAAATGCAGAAGTCACTCTAGCCTCTGCACTCCCCCTGCCTTCCTTGGGATGCCCATAACCTTCTAAATTTAGCTTAAGGGCAGTCACAATGCATGGCAGCCCTTAACATAATTTCTACCCTTCCTCTACAAACTCCAGGGCATCCTATTCTCATCCCTGCCCCCTACTGTGTTCCTCCTCAGATGGGCTTAATTTGACTTAGGGCTCAGCTCTGGACCTGTTTTGAAAGCCTAGTATCAGACCTTCAATGAAACTTATAAAGACTAAATATGCCAAAGAACTGCTCTATCACCACTATTTGCAGAGCTAATAATTGGCATTCAAACCCTATGTGTGGTACCCATTATGGACTTTATATTGCAAGCAAGGAAGGAGCGTCTATTTTGCAAGCAGGAAGGGCCACTTGTAGCTTTCCAGATATTTTGGCCTACACCTCTCATCCCTTACCATTGGAAAAGTAGCTGCACGCCAAAGTGCCACAAACTGCCCACCCTTCCTATAAAACATCATGCACATTCACAGGACTATATAAATAATAACGATAGAAAGGAGAGCAGGGTATGTCTTTAAAGAGTAATCCAAATTATAAATGAATACAGAATTACAGTCAGTCTCGACAGACGTTAGCTTGCTCCCCAACCCGTTCTTCCCCTCCAGCACCCAAACCTGGGCGCTCCGAGGACAGAGAGTATCTCCTCCAGCATCCCAAAGGGCGCTTGAAAGCGGGGAGGAGCAGCCTTTTGCTTGCCGCGCCCGGCAGCTGCAACACGCGGCTCCCTACGGCGGCCCCGGCCCTCCTCACTAGCCGACCTCCGGATTCACTCACAGGCGGGTCCTCCTCTTCGTCTGCCATGATCACGAGAGCAGCGGCGGCGACCACCGGCTTCCCAGCTCCACAACTCCCGCCGGATACGGACACTTCTTCCGCCAGGCAGCCTCATACAACGCCATTGGTCGACAGAAAATACTCAAGCGCATGCTCCCACAAGACAGGTGAAGCTGATTTTGCCCTTACTGCCCTTTTCCAGTTTCCCATTGCTTGATCACGTAGGAAAAGAGGAAGACCCACGAACCGTTGAGCATGCGCTGTAGGATCATCTGAAATACTCTTTTGCCCTCAGTTTTCAAATGGATTACCTTTGAACACCCCCTTGCTTAATTTGGCGCCCTACAGTTGCCGGGGTGGTGGCACCTGGAGTTGTGATTTATCACGTCTGGAGAGCACCAGGTTGGGGAAGCCCGCTTTTATTCAATCAAAAATCACTGGGGAACCAGCAGTTAGAGTGTTGGACTGGGACTGAGGAGGGCAGAGTTCTAGACCTCGCTCAGCTCGCGAGGTGAACTTTGGGCGAGCCACGGACTCTCGGTCTAATCTATTTTGTGATGATAAAATAGAGAGGGTCACAGGCACCTCCTTGGAAGAAAAGGCAGGTAAAAACAAGTGGGGCAAAAGCAAACAAGGATCCTACGAGATAAAGCTAAAGCACATTAACAGCCACCCCCTGGTCAATTCCAAGGAACGTTGAAAATCTAATGTTGTGGCCACTTAAGGATGAACAGATGCACTGTGTTACTAAGAACTGCTCTCACTTGATGTCAATAAATACTGTTTACCTTTGCTGGCTGATAAGCAGTAACTTTAAAGGAGCTCAAATGAGCTGTTGTTACTTTTGGAAACTGATGATACTTTAGAACTATCACTTCCTGTTTGATTCCTTCCTGCTCAATCCACAAAGTTGTAAACAAGCCCCTAAACAGTCTTGTGGCACAAGGACTAACACACTGGTACCATAAGCCTGTTAGCAATTAAGAGTCCCAATGATCTAACTGCATAGGTCTATTACAGCCACCACACTGAAGTTAAGCACACTGTTAAGTCTCTCTGATACTTTCCTCATTTGTAAACCAAACCTCTAAAAGGCTGTCTTAGCATTTTCTGGCATTTACAGGTATGGAGAAGAAGCATGAAATAATCTCACGGACATAGCAGCCTCTGCCATGTATTCTCTGTTAGGATTTAAACAGGCATTCAATATATGAATCAACCTAGAACACAACTTCTGTGGATAATAATACCAAAGTAAGGAAAATTTTTAAAAAAAAACAGAATTTTAAAAAGAGCTACAGAAATCCAGCTTTAAAAAAAAAAAAAATAACCAAGCAGCTAAAAACAGTGTGGGCCATTTAGAACACAGCCTCAAATTACAGTTTCAGAGCATGGGCAGGAATATATTGCAAGAAGTGGCCCTGTGTATGTTGTGACTTCAAGCTGTGAGAGACTTTGTATACTAACACAAGCAACTTGAAGTGGACCAGTAAATGAACTGGAAGCTGGTATAGGTGGTGCAAAAACTGGCAAAATATGTTCATAACCACAATACTGGCTAGTACCCTAGCTGCCATATTTTGTAATAACTGAAGTTTCTTTAAGGACAGTCCAGCATACAGACAGTGCAATGACCCATCCAGAAGCTTAACAGGACTTGGAACACTGAGGTCTGAGTGTCACTATCTAGGTAGGATTGCGGCTGCTGTACCAACCTAAACCAGCAAATCAGCTCCATTCCATGGAAGACAACTGTGCCTCTAGTGGTTTGAATTTGAAATGGAGGAAGGTTTGGGCCAAGCTACTTTCTCCAAATGCATCCTTTGTCAGCATTTGCTTTATTTTACATTAAAGGCTTTTCCTCACATACTGCAATGTGTGTTAGCACACCTATGTATTGATGGTGCTGGGAGAATAAGTGGGCAGCTTGAAGGTTTTTACAACTTAGACCATATAACGTGTGAGGAACTGAAGCCACACAGATGCTTAAACAATTATAGCTATCAATTGCCAAGTGGTGCTTGCACCTCAAGGTTAAGCCAACTCTGCAGTCATCCTTCCACAGATACAGCCTCTGTTGTTATTTAAGTGTATGTATCTAAAAATATGGGCTGGAAAGGAACATTTACTGTTCTTGAAACTGTTGTAGCTCAGAGCCAATCAAAACACATGCACTGTAACATAACACTAAAACTGAAGCTGTTTAATTCATTGAATTAGCATTTATTGCATCCAAATTATTTAGAAAAAACTAAAGAAGTATGCAAAGCAAGAAATACTTTATCTCTTTAAGCAGAAGAACAATTTACAACATGGAGATCAGCTGTGATGATTCTGAGCTTGAAATATCATCCAGTGGTTACGGTAAGATATCCAGTAACATGTGCTATAAAGCATCTAAGAACATGGATTCCAGAATAATACAAAGAACTGGGGAAACAAAGACAGAAATGGGAGGAGGGTTAGCATGAAGAAAACGTAATTATTGTATTTGCCCATTATGCTGACAGTCGCTACATCTGCTTACAACCCTTTCTTAACACCCCTTTTAAGGTTTTACCTGACAGGAAAAAGTTGAGGAAAGCACCCTTGTGTTTTATTCTTTATGAAGTCCTGAATCTGTAGCACGTTTTTTGCCATCACACCTTTTGGTGCTTTGTCAATTTTGGTTAATACAATCTGCAAAAAAAAAAAAAAAAATGGGGGAATATCTGTGGTATTTATCAAACATTTATACCATTTTCACATTTGTCAATCCATAAAGCAGGGATATATTATTTCTCAGAATGTCACATATTGGATGAAGTAATGGAAGTATTCAAATACAGGGCAAGAATAAAGTTCTCCATTTCTTGTTAATTCTGTTCAGTTTTACTCAGGTGAATGTTTAGGTTATGGTGGAGAAAGAAGGTAGATGTCAAAGTTAGGCAAGTCATTTGGGATTGTAGGATTTCTCTGATACATTTTGTTTTATATTTTTATATTTATTTCTGCAAATATATTGACCAAAACATTACATTAATTGAAAGCTAGAATCACCAGTATTATAACAGAAATCAAATACTACATGTTGGAAAAGGAAATCAGTACAGCCTTTGGATGTCAATGGTAGCATAAGAGAAGCACATGATATCTTTTGGTATTGAAATAGTTACTTATTTAATGTGCATTTATCTTACCAAACATGATCTTCTAGACAAGTCTGATTGTTTCCAAATTGTCATTTTTCATACCATTACTAAAGTGGCCTTAGAAAAAAGTGGGCATAAGACCCTTAAGTCTTCAATTGAAATTAAAAGGAGAAAGATGTTCACCTATAACTGGATCATGTTTATGCTTTCTAATTCTTGCTATATACCCTTTAGCCAAGTAGTTCAATATGCTGAACATTTTACTTTTTGTATTTTTAAACAAAGACAATTAAATAAGTATTTAATATTTATTTGCTTCTTTGTTGTTACTGGTTTCATTTTCCATTCTTTATTGTTATTGGTTGTATACTTTGTTGTTATTGATCATGATGGTAAAATTGTTCCTGGCTTTATCTTATTGTAACATTGAGTTTTGTGTTATATGCTAACAGTTTGCAAACCATGCAGAGAACTGACTGGCTATAGGCATAGTATAGAAATGTTTAAAATAAATAAAACTCACAACATAAGGGATCCCAAATTCTTCCAACATATTAACAGCAATGTTGTCCATTTCTTGAATCCCTTTTACACCATCCACTAATAAGAATGTTTGTTTCAAACTAATGAAAATAGAAACATAAGAACAGAAAAACAGACACAGCTGAATTAACTGGCAAGAGAATGTGTCTTCATTTCCTAATCTTAAATTTAGCTCAAGAGTTTATATTACTAATCATTCTACCATACATTATATAGGTATGTTACAAAATCTTCCTGACACTTACCAGCATGACAAAGATGACCATGTTACTCTGTTATAAACAACCTAATTACGGGGGAATGTGGTCGTATAGGTCAATGCATCCTATAAAGAATGCTGAAAGATTATCTGTAAAAAGCATCTACAAATAGCTGGTAAAAATTTAAATAGATGTTGCATCTATCAACTACTTCATGAATCCTAGCACACGAATCCTGTGAGATATTTCACTGATCTACTGAAATATTGCTCAATCTTGAGGGAAAGGACTTAACTTAAACTGCAACGTACGTCTGACGCTGATATAAGTAAGGCTCCACCATCTCTGCAAAATCTTTGGGTGCTTTGTAACCATAGCCTGGCATATCCACCAAAGTAAAGAATGTTCCCACTTGGAAGAAATTCATTTTCTTAGTATGACCCTGGAGAAAAAAATCAAGAGGTTGGAGGCAGGTGAGTATCTGAAGATCATGAGATTAGTGGCCCCTCTTAAGTACATTTTTTAATGAACAGGCAGTAAACATAACATTGCTGAGAACCAAGATTTTGATAGAAAGGTGGCACTTTCTATAATTTAAAGGTTAACCATGGGGGAGGGTGTTGGGGCGTGTTTTTTTTTTACTGTTCACTCTGAAATGTCAAACCTCAGCACTTTCTGATTCCATTTTTTTGTCTGACACCTGCTTTTGGAGGAGTTGTAATTCAGATTATTTGTGACACAGGCAGAGCTATTCTGTGGGCCCACACAATGCCTTGAAGGCCACAGAATCATTTCAGTACTCAGTTCTGAGATCCTAAAAAGCTCTGACACTGAATCTGGGGACCTGTACTTGCATCTGTCTCTCGCCGCTCATGGGTGGCATGGAGTGAATTCAAAAGGGAAGAAATATGGGAGGGGCATTCCAGGGGGTGGGGTGGGAACTCGTGCTCCTAGAATATGACATATCCTGGTGAGGCCTCAGCCTCCTTCCCTTCCTCTCCAAAGTGCTAGATGGCCCCAGTTAGATGGTCAAAACCAACCGTCTAGCAGTTTTGGAGAGCAGGAGAAATTCAGCAGTGAGCTTAGTCTCTGTGCTCCTGCGCTCTAATTTCCAAGTATGGAGGGTTATGGGCACTATGATCTAACTGTGCTTATAACTTGTATATTTTTATTCATAAAAGCATACTGTGTGTTTCAGGACAAATTCCAGACATTTATCTTTGATATCCTAAACATGAAATTATGTCAGATAGCTTTCCTATTCTTTCAGATTTAGTATTAGACCTAACTCAATCTGGAAAAGTGCCCTGAATGGGTTAAGTGTGAGTATGTAAAGAAACTGTATGTACCCAATGTAAAAGTTACTTATGGTCATATGTTATGTTTTTGAACAGTGACTGAAGGGTAGCAGTGCTTGAGAAATGTGCAACAGACTTGAATGAGCTTAAAATTTGAGCAATCTGGCCCACAGATGCTATAGCAGCCACATTATTCTGCCGAACATATATTCCCATAGCACTGTTTTTTTGCTTCCCATAATTTAATGCAAATTTAGTTGTAGGAAAAAAACCAGAAAATGCATATTGTTGCTTTCCTCTTCCCTCCCCATTTCTTTTTTACTATGTTTATGAGATTGTGAGTTTGTAGACAAGAAATGTCTAATATTGTAATGTCTGGACAGTTCTTTGAAAATGTTGCTACATTATAAGTTTTTGTTGTTGTTAGTTTCCTAGTATTCCCTAAGCTAAATTGTTTGTATCAGCTAACAACAATTTATACTAAACAAAGCAGAATAGAATTAACTTTCAGTTTGCCTCTATTAATTTTTAAGTACTTGCAAACTGTCTAGAGACTCAACTGGCTAAGGGAATGGTATGGAAATGTTTTAAATAAATAAAAATACAAACAAAATTTAATAAGTTTTTAAATGGCACTTACCGGAGTTTTTGAAACTTTGACTTCAACATTGGGGGCCAATGAAAACAAGGCTTTTATTAAGGAGGATTTTCCAACATTACTTTGTCCTATAAAGCAAACCTAAGAAAGGAAGTTACAATTACTTAACATTTCAGTTGCTTACCCAAATGAAAAGGTGCAAGCCTTCACTCTCTGTTGTCACTCTAACCTCTACACAGTCTGACTGTACAAGATGGACCCAGGTCCAGCAATTAATACATGTCTTGAGAGCTTATGGAATTCCTGCTGGAATTCCTTTCTCTGTACCATTATACAACTCCCAAAGTCTGCAAAATGTCATAACTAACAGGCCCTCTGTGCCTTTTGGAAATGAAGAGCTTTCAGATGTTGTATGGAATTTCCAGTAACAAACAGGCAAGTTGACTGAAACCTCCCTTAGAAGAATAAGATATATTTCAACTTTTTATCATTTTGATAGGTTTCATGAATTTGCAACGTCTGTAACACAACATTGGAGGACTTGAAACTCTGAAGTTAAATTCTGCTTTGTGAATGAATTATGAGCACTGTATAACACTGCATGCATTTACTCAAAGAGTCTAATTTACAGATCAGCTTTAAACACCAAAGGATTGCAGCTTTACATCCCAGTTCTGAAATTTCATGGGCTAATGTCCACCAGTAAATTCCACAAATACCAATGGTGCTTATTTTCCTACGTCCTTTGATTTTGACTTCCTAAGACTTTGACCTTAGAGTGCCCTCCTCCCACTCCTGCAGCCAATGCAAAGAGAACCATGCCAGCTGTAGCCCTAAGGTCAGAAGAGAAGAGGGAGGAAAGGCTCTGCTGGCTTACAAAGTTTTCTAGCAGTATCTCACAGTTTCTCCCTCTTGCACCAGTGCTGAACACTTATATGGCTGAAATCAGTCATCTAATTGCTTTGCATGAATCAAAGAATGTGACGATAACCTTTGCCACCACCCTTTTCTGCCCGATATAGACTGCCTGGCAGGAAGGATTACAGGCAGTCTCATTGGAGTGCATCATAAATTCAATATGTTTCAAAGTCTCACAGTTCCCTTGACATTACAAACAATGTATTGTTGGCAATATGTGGCCTTCCTTCCTCATAAACACCCCAAATGCCAAGAGCTGCTTTTAGGAAAAACTGCCCTTTTATGAAGCTCACCTCTGGCTGTGACTGTTGTGGAACATGATCCATCCTGACAGCAGAAGTGAAATAATCAATGAGATGTGTGCGTGATGGAATGAACAACCTCTCTGCCCTGCTGATGTCTTCATGGCTAGGAGAGAACATTCGAAAGCACAAAGTATCCACATCAGGGGCTATAAACCTTGCCAGATCTTCAAGAGGGAATGTGATTCCAGTAAACTGCTTTTTTTCTAACTGTAGAACTTCTGAAAATGAAGCGTATTTGATCGGGGTTCTGCTTTTTGTCACAAGATGTCTACACTGTGGACAACTAATTACTGGAACTGTCCTTGATTTTGGTAACCGGAACATCTTTGCCCATGTTTTTTCAAAGGCTAGGTAATTTTTAAACAGACAATTCAATACCTTCATTCTTTACTTTTTAAAAATAAGATCTTCAGTTTAGGGTTTTCTTTTTCAGAGTGCTGATTAAAAGAAAAAAGAGGAAAAGGTTATGAAGGTTAGTGCAGCAACTATTAAGAAAAGCCATCACAAATGCATCCCTCATCGCATTCAAATACTGCTTTGTATCAAGGCTTTCAGTATCTATGCCAAACAGAACATTGTGCAAGCCTATATCTTGTCTACTGTAAACTAAGCCCCACTCAAAAGTAAGCCCCGCTATTCATGGGGTTGTACTCTCCGCTAAGCGCATATATAAGATCGCAGTTTAGCGAATGGGGGCAGGTGAGACATAATATGGGAGAGAGCAAGGAACAACGTTAACAGCTTCACCAACGGAGAAGCGGCATCACTAGAAAAGTCAGGAATAATTATTTCTTTTCAGCCTCAGACCCACAAATCTGCAAGTTTCCAAGCCAGAAAAGGCAATAAGCAAACGGAGAAAGGAGCCCGCAGTGCCACCCGACCGCGGAGACGCGAACTCGCGTGAGTCCGCCCCGAGGCTTCGGCGAATGGGGCGGCATAGAAGCTTCCTAAATAAATTAAATAAATAAACAAACTCGAAAGTGCGATCCCCGTGTCCTATCACAGCCGTAAGGCTAAATCAGTGGCTGTTAGACTCACACTCTTCTCGGCTTCGGAAATTCAAGGGAGACACTCTGCCTCTTTGACCCGGAATCTGAAGTATCGCTCTAGCGCTTTCTACTTCAAGAAGACCATAGAGATACAAAAAGAGTCAACCTCGAGCTCAGGTACCACTGCGACACTTAATGCAATGCGAAGGCAACGTGCAGAGCTGTCAAAAACTCCGTTTATGGATAATAACGGTGGGCTTATATCAATGACTACTTTTCCTGATGCTGCCTCCAGTATCAGAGGCCTGTCTCTCTGCTAGTCGCTGGGTGACAAAGGCGGGAGGACGCTGTTGCTGTCCCTACTCTATGAGCTTTTCTACGAAGGCTGTTACTGCACCTGAACGTCTTTTGTTTCTTTGCAGAACCGAGATCGTAGCACTAAGCAAGATGTATTTTCTTTCCTGCTTTTCTGCTACATAACTGCTGGGTGGCAGTGTGGTATAGTGGGAAAGCATAAATAGCAAGAGGAAGCTGTACTTTCTTTTGCTTTGATAATCAATTGTCACATTTTCCTTGTTATAAAAATGCCTGCTGAAAGCATTGACTGAACACAGAAGCAAAGTTGGAGGGTCACAATATCATTTAAAGAATGCATAAACAACCATGAGTAAGGGAATGTTCAGCACATGATAAAAGCTGCATGTAGAAAAGTAATCAGAGAACTTTCTTTCAGTGGAATAGGGGGCAGCCTCTACCAATTGATTTGCTATATTTACCATGGTTAATTTTACTATCGTTCTATTTCTTTATTAAACATGCAAAATGTGTGCGCATATTTTTTAAAAATTAAATCATTGCCTGTGTATGTGGAAATCAGCCTATCTCAGCATCAAGATAGCCACTTATCCTGGCCCATGCTAAATTTTTGCATGCTGGAAATGGGAACCTGCCATATTTCTAAACTGAAGGTTTCCAGAAAATCTTAAGTAATCCCAAATTTCCCTTCATCCCCTGCTCAGGGAGTGAATTGGGAGGGGTAGTAGATTATGCCTGTGTGAACACTGCCACACACACTCCCCCACTGCAGCAAACACCGCAGCTGAAGAGCAGCAAGAAAACAGGATGCTGTAGAGGAGGGTCATAGCTTTGTCTTCCAAAGCAAGAGATCAGGTTGGTGGGCAGCTGCCGCAGAGCCAAACAAAGCAACCTCATACACCTCTTTTATTCAGGGGTCCTTCCAGAGCAACAGACTGAAGGAGAGCCTGCCCACCTGCTCTCACTGGGGAAGTCTCCAAAACGAGAGATCAGAGGCACCAAACCCGGAATACCACACTTTGAAGGGGCCTTCTACAAACTATCACAGGTGGCCATGGAAGCTCCCCCTAGAGTCAGTGCAGGCAGGCCATCCCCAGGGGCACCTTACTACGTCACACAGACTGTTCATCTGACCTTGCATGCTGTGTGTGATTGGCAGCAGTGGTGGACATCTCCCTGCTTCAGATGGCAGGACATCTTTTCAGGGGCACTCCATCCTAATCTGGATGAGTTACAAAATTTCTGCTGGCTTTGGGTATCAAGAAAAAGCCAAAAAAATATGCACTGCATTCACACAATCAATATTTTCTATTTGAAAAGCTGCATCACAGAGCTTGTCTGCCTGTTTATCTTGTGCCACAGACGTTTGGAGCTGAACTGTAGTACAGGAAAGGGACTGGGGCTAAGACTCTGCCCTTAGGATCAGAAGAGGTGTCATTGAGAACACTAATCCAGACAACATGGTAGAAAAGCTCTGGCACTTTGTCCTAGTCCTCCCAATGTTGGGCCCCTTGACTTAGTATGAAACAGTGTCCCACAGGAGTAGTTGTATAACTAATTTTCAGTGCCTCTGCTCAATCCTCCTGGAACATGCACTCTTTAAATAAGGGACTGATTTGCTCCTGATCATGTGCCAAGAGCATTTCCTAGAACCAATGATGGTCATGGCAAAGATGACTTTGAAGCTCCGGTTTAGAGTTAGATTTACTGATTTCCCCTTAGATTTACTGATTTCCCCTTTTCAGTGTACCGAGCCTACAATCACCACCCATCCAGTGTTTGCAAGAACTAAACTCCACTCTGGTAGTTACTGTGGTTGCAAATCCTGATAAGGCAGGATTTTTGATCATGGAAATTCTGTAAGTATGTTGACCTGAACATGTTCACAAACCCCTTTTCAGATATTAACGCTCAGTGCACAAAGGTCTACACAGAAGCTGGGAACATGGGGACACGGCTTCCACACATGACTTCATTCCTTTATCTAATGTACCCCTTCCCCCCCCCCACACACAAGCAGGCACACATCCAAAGAGGGTTTATGTGTCTGGACTACTCAATATGGAGCATACAATCTGCCACTTTGCCAAGAAGAACCTGCTTCTTCCATTTTCAGGGAAAAATATAATGTCATTCGCAAAAGTTTTATTCTTCTGGGTTTTTTTTTCTCTATCTTTCCATATGTTCTGGTAAGTTCCATTATACAACACAAGGTGTGGCAGAGAGCAGAACTGCAAAATACTTGAGGCTTCCATAATGAATAATGGCATCCCCTAGGAAAACACTAGGTTTTCCTCACACTAAAACAGCAGCAGCAGCAGCAGCATGATGAAAATGGCTGGGAAACTCAGGAGAGGTCCTAGAAGATGATGGCCTGGGGAAAGGCTGCACAAATGTCCACGAGGGATCATAAGGGCAGATTGAAAGCCTCATGTAGAGAAGCCCTCCTTGTCCTGGAGCATCACAACCAGCTGCAGCAAGCGTATACGTATTTCTTTACTGCCATCATGCAGAACTGCTACAGATTATGGTCTACATATGGCAATTTCCAGCATGGTACAACTCCTCTGCAAGAATCAATTATATTTGCTTTCTTAGAATAATTGTAAAGCTTTCATCATTCTTGATTATATTTGCCTCTGTCAATTACAGATATGCCACCTTTGCATCTGGAAACAAGGAATGCAGAAGTAACTCACTTCTAGCTTCTACCAATAGGTGGCAATAAAACTGTAAAAATGCTGTAATCATGCAGAACTGGGAATGGAATTGTCATTATGAGTGTCTTACCTCCACCCCACAACAAAATGTCACTTTCATATGGTAAGAGAAATCCTTGAAGAATCTTTGAAGAAGCTGGACTGATCCAACTCTAAAACGGTCATCCTTCTCATGTGGTGTCAGAATCCCGGAATCTCAATTTGAGAAGAGGGAATAAAACTAGGGTTTGTGGGAAAGACCAAGCGTCCAGACCATCTGAGGCTTTATTGTTTTACCCTCAAGGTTCCCGCGGTACACTCATGATAATGCATGCATTACCGGGCAGGCAGAGATGAACTCTGCTGCAAAGCTCCAATACTATTACAGGGCATTTATAGGTACACAGGTACAGGGCAATTGATGACCGAATGCAGAGATTACAATAAGATTCTGAGGTCATCACATACAGAACAGATAAAGAAATGTCAGTCAATCACACTGTAACAATGAGATTACAATATTTCTAATTGTCTGTATTGACACTTTAGTTGAGTAACTTGAACCCATCTCCAGGTCTGCTCAGACATGCAAATTCAAGCTACTAGAAACTATTCATGATAAGCTCAGACCCTTATCTCGACTCTAAACATTCTGCATGATCAGGGCACATGAAGCCCTCTGCGCTATCAAAAGATTATTGTAAACTGAATTCCAGCAATGACTATTTACACTGTATATTTGGGCTAAAATGGCCTGTGTACTGTAGCCTACAGCTAGTGAGAGAAAGGAGGGGGAGAATGCCATTTTAAACAGTGACAGCTTGGTTTTCAGAAGAAAGACAGGATTTGATCCCACAATGCAAAGGCACACAGGAGTAATGCTTTTCAGACAGGATTTATCCAAATTTTCCCAACAGTGGGAGGTTGACCAGAATGGAGGATACCTCCCTCCCACAAAGCAAGAGCTAATGGTTTTGCTTGCCTCTCTCTGCTTCTTCTCTCTCCCTGTCCCACAACACACATGTGCAGTCACCGTGTTTTTCCCATTTTGAGGTGCTTTTACACACCAAGGTTTCTGCTGATCATGTTGTTATCCCATTTATGCTCATTTCTCACTCTCACATGTGTATGCATGTTACCATTTTCCAGGCAGTGTACAAATAGAAGTTTGTGATTGAGAACAAGGATGTGGGGGTTATCCAAATGTTGGATGGAGAGGTCTGTTTTTTGGAGAATTATATAAAATTGTGGAATATAAGATCATATTTGTATAGAGCTTTGAATTAAATTGGTGTGCTTATACGACCAATACAGAGAACTAGTTTTGTGCAAATGGCATTGGTCACCCTTCTTTGGGCATGTTGGATACAGCTGATCCTTTCCTTCTGAAGATGGCCTATCCAAACTTTGCTAATTTTTGATGTAGAATGAGAATTGTGCCATGCAGGAGCTGCTGAGTGCTCCATGCAAAAGAGATCCACTCTTTCTTTCTTTTTAAGAAGGAAGATGTGTACTTGGGAGGTGGGGGAACTTTAGAATGTTTGCCTGTCTCTCACTGCACATACAGTACAAAGTTTGCTTTGCCTTTTACGAGAGTCTAGTCATGTACATATTTGGTCAGTCTTTCTGGTTCAAATGGGGGAAAGCACAATGATAATCAGGTAGTCCATGCATGCAGCTTCCTCCATAGGTACTTCATCAATGCATGTGGTGGCATTCTCAATCTGGTGAGTTTATGACTGCTGCAAACTGTTATGCCTTCCTGTTCTCTCTGTTCCACTTTTGCTATCCCAGCCTCCGCAGATTGTATTATGACTGCTTAAAGAGCTTCAAAATCTTCAAAAGAAGTGCATCAACAAAAGAGAGGACAAACATGCACATGAATTTGCATATTATTTATGTGTGTGTGTATGACATAATTCCAAATAAAGGCTATAATTTAACT